TTACTTCAGCTTGCTTTAGGTGCCATTTCATGCTGATAAGTGCGCTGAGCTGACTTCTAAACTTATGTGCTCTATTTTTTCTTCTGGAAAAGTCCAGAATACAAATTTGAATAGAAAAACGGTGGCACGGAAAATGTTTGCTATCCCTCCATCCTTCACTCTATCACCTTTCGGACAACAGTGCATTTCACCATGACAACAGACGATCATAAGAGGCGTTTGAGTGTTTCGTTTTTCAATCTTTGCTAAACGAAAGCGAAAAGAAGGGAGGAGGAAAATCCCTGACTCGTTACCTCAACTTTACATGCCACTTCCATTTACGATGAGATTTTATCCACGAAAAAGCAACATTTCGATTTCTGGATGCCGGATTTTTTCTGCTCTGTTCTTATTGCTTGGCACATTGGGAAGTAGCAATGTTGTCGTGTAAAAGACTGAGGCCAGCGAGACAACCAATCCCTTTTTATGATTCGTTCATTCGTTCCGATGATAAATTAATCCTAGCACATGCCAGAGAGTCAAAACCGTCATCAGCCTGCTTCAAAGTAACTTTATTAAAAAAGCTTCTCTAAACAGGTACTGTCAGTCGGAAGGGAATCGAACTTCCCATCATCAGAATTAAACTCCTCGATTTCACTATTTTTGGATTCTTCGAAATACCTGGAAGAAATATCGATACCATCTTTGTAGGTAAATTTATATTTAAAAGGATAAGAGCTTTGCCAGTGTTTTCTCTTTCGCACTCCGATGTTGCTACCGCTTTTCAAGGACACTGCGTCAATTTTATCGTTTCGGAACATACGATAAAAATGCGTTCGAGTTGAGCCGATGAATCAGCAAAAGCGATACCACGAGAGCAAACGAGCGATAAAGGCGAGAGAGGAGGAAACGGGGAAAGGAGGGGGACTTCTATGAACAGAAGTGGTTGAAGAAAAGCAGTTTAAACTGCTGTAAACTCGCCCTCTTTTTTTCTGAAATGTTACACAATGTTCAGTGATGAAGCTTGTGATACTGCCGTACCAAAAAATTTAGAATTTCTAAAAATTTGAAGACTCTGGTAAGGAATCTGTGTGTTCTGAAAGACACAGATTTTTGTGTTTTTCATGTGAAATACCTTTTAATCT